AACTGGTGGAAGTGCTTAAACTACAGAGTGACACAGTTTCACGTGAAACAACAACAACATCAGCAGAAACTGTCGTGAGTTTAGGAACACTGCTATTGATGCACAGTCAGCTTGCACAGCGCAAAAGAAAACGAATAGCAGAACTGTAAATTAATCAACATAAATTTACAAATATCAGTATAGTTTAGATCCATTAACAAGTGTTCCTGATGCTAATATCTGGAAAATATTTTTGAACATTGATATATAAATTATGGTAACAGATGAAACCTGTTACCTGTCAATAAGCTGAAGAACACTGTTACAAGAGAGTCGTCAAGAAGTTTATTCCTAAACAAGCAGTTATGCGTCAAAGCAACCAACAGAAGTCATCAATAATTTTGTACCGGAAATGCAAGAATCTGCCAGATCTTGATATGTTTACAGTAGAGCTTTTAAGAGTTCCTCTCCCGAAAGATTCCGATAGTTTACAGCTGTACTAAACCTATATCTTCTGTCTTTCCATTCATTCCGGACAGTCAAAACATCAAAATTGGTTCCGTAGTACAATATTCAAACTTGCAAGTTGATCATCTAGAAGTTACCGCTTAGGTGAGTTAAAACTTCAAAAAATTTTGACTGCATTATCTAAACAATTTATTGCTTTCAATCGCCGTACTACAGCCTAAAACAGGGCAAAAAAATTATAACTTTTTTTAGTTTTCAAAACAAAAAATTAGGTTTGAAAAGTACCAAACTTTTGATTTACTTATTTTAATTGAAAGATTAATCATTGTAAAAGTTAAAAAAAGCTTCTAGTGCTCAAAATTAAATGTTTTTTACAGCTTCTTTAAGAAAATAAATTAAAACAATTAAGAAAACTTTGTCCCTGTCTATTTATACAACTGTTTGAGAAGAAGAAAAGTAAATAAAATAGGGTTAAAAAGAGATACTTTTAACCTGCTACTTTACTGAAGGTGATACCCATGAGATTCTTATTAAGACTGAAATAAAAATAATCACCGTTTTTGTTACTTTCATCTCCAGTTAATTTTGTTTTTATGGAATTTAAAAGACACAGCAACTCTCATTTAAATAAAAGTCATAAAAAAAGTTCGTACCGGTATAATAAAAAGTTAAAGATAAGCAAAATTTCTGTGACTTTGACTTTTAAAGAGCAATATGTAAAACCTATACCAAATATTATAAAATTTTTTTTTACTGTAGCAAATACTGATAAAACAGCTGTTGTAGACAGGTATAAAGCGATCAATTCAATATTTTCAAATTTTGTTAGAGAATTAACTATAGCACAAAACTTGTACAGACGAGCGATTGGGTTCAGATTAAGTCAGCTGAGAGCGCAACTACAATTACCAATATTATCAAAAGCAAAAAAAAAATTTTTTGCTCTTTACAAAACAATAGCTCGCGTTAAAAATGTCTTAAACTTAAGTCCAAAAATTATCAAGAAAAGGACAATTTTTTTTTGGCTTCTTAGGCTACACCGTTAAACACCAAATTTTCCGTGCATAATCGCAGAACGCAACAGCTGATTGAAATATGTCGTCTTTTAACTTCGAAAGTTTTAAACGTCAAACATCAGATTTGTTCGACAATAATTACAATAAATATATCAGAAAATAGCCGAAAACAGTAGGCACTTTAACTATTGACTTACACAAAAAAAGCATTCTCTTGCGTTTTACAAGAACAAAATTCTACGCAGACAACTGCACAGGAAGCTTTTAATAGGTTTGCTGTCTATTCTGATTATGATACCAACTCTTCAAGAATTATCTATTCACTGATCGCTACATGAAATCTCTTCTGCATATAAAATATAACATAACACATAACGCCAAACAAAAAATGTAGAAAAGAAGGAAACAATAAAAATAAAAAATTCCTAACAAGAGAAAGTACAAAACTGTTAGCAAAGATAAAACCGAAAATTATGAAAAATAACAATTTCTCTGTCTATTAGCCTATTCATTTTTATTCTGGACGAGAAACGACAGTTCATTTAATCCAGACCTAAATTACGCCTTTTTATTTTTATTACAATTCTATATCAGGAGTATACCATAATAAAAAAGCTTCGAAGAGTTTTTTAAAAACCTGCTAAAAATAGAGGTCGCTTGCTGAGTCTTGAGTAGTTCCAAGTTTGGAGTTGTTTATTTTTCTCTTTAAAATGCTCCTGAAAACGCTTTATGACTGAACAGTGACGTCAAAAATGCCCAACTGCATAACGTCGGCAATTATTTCGGCATCGCTTAGGAAATCTCCATACATGCATTGTATCCAAAATATTAAACAAAAGTAATCCTAGCTTTTCACGTTTCGCGTAAGAGGGGAAATACAAACCTGGAAGATAGTTCCTGGAGAATAAAATAAAGCTTTTTTAATTCTTTTCATGCTCAGATAATGGCCAAGAAGAATATGTAGGACCAGTATCAGCAATTTTGAAAGAACCTTTCAGTACCTAACTCTGCAAATGAAACCTTTGCGGAAATTTGTTGACCAAATGTAAAACTGGCTTTTAGAAGTTTTATCTTGATGAACTAAAAATATAACAGATTTGAAAGCTTATTCTTTACTTGCACAATTAATACCTTAAAGTGTCATCCGAAAAATAGAGCAACAATGTACTACAGCGTTATTGTGCTTTTCATCACTTAAACAGAAATGATAGATTTTTCAAAAAATTTTCCTGCGAAATGACTTAAATAAAGAAATTTAAAAAGATCTGATTTCACAGTCAGACTGTCCGTACAGTTGCTTCTAATCATAGCAATACCTTCTCACATGAGACGATGTGCTGGAACTGGCACTGCGCGATTGACTGATATCGACCGTGATAATATGAGAGATGAGTTTCGCGCAAACTACCCAGTACTTTTTCCTCTGCGACTTATAGGACAACTTCAGCTGACCCTTCCTTCCATCTCACTGCTATGCTTAAAACAGCTACATTGAGTTCCCAAGTGAATTGACGCATCTTAATTGAGGTATGATAGACCAGCTATCCCGCCAGACAGCGAGGCCTCCCAAATATTCACGATTTCCCGACGCCCCGCAATTCTTATCGGCTTGCAGAACACACCGCTCAAACTACTCCCGGACGACATGATCTAGGAGCAGCGCTCCGACCGAAGTCTGAGCTTATTTTGTATGAAGCCATCGTTTTACCGTACCGGGCATGTTAGGAAAATAGTGTGAGCAACGAAGGCTGGGTCTCGGCTACCATCTCAGAGCCTCTGCAAATGCTGAATAAAACGTTCTAATGAAGCCACCTATAAAAAAATTATATTAATTAATAATCTTTTTGTAGCAACGTTGACTTGAGTCTTCCAACATTATGGTTTCCTCGTATGTTCTCACTTCACTGCCACCCGGGTCTTTGTTTCCAATAGTTTATTACTTCAAATAGCACAATATACAACCTCAAACGTGGGTAGTTAAACCTTTGTAAAAATGCAAGCGCAAGCTTGATATACATGGTTAATAAATGAAGCAGTTACCACGATTTTAAGTAAAAAGTGATGAAGTAATAATAACAAATAATTTTGATCCCTCCTATCACTTGCTTCAACATCCTTTTATATAACTCCTGGATCGTGCGGGTTTTTGTCGGGGTCACAATTCCCCCTTCCAGCTTCTAAAGTTTTGTGTTCGTTATACATGCTTCACTGAGTTATTTATCATTAGTTTTTGGATAATTCCCTCGTGTCCTAAAGGCACTATCTTTTCAGGTTTTGATCCGGTGTAAGGGGTAACTAATGGGCATCACCGGTAATCAGCAAATTATGTAAGTTTGGTATTTTCGAAACCAAACTAAAGTCACTGTGGGCGCAAGCCCTGCCTCATCCATGATGAGGTGTTGCAACGACTCGGTATCAAATTCGTCTTCCCAAGTTGCAGTAGTGTTTTTATCGTAGGCATGGTGCCGAAAATAACTTTTGTTCTTCTTAAATTGAGACAAATTTTTATGCTTTAATTTCTTGATATAGGTTCCCGTCGTTGCTTAAGCGTTTTTCAACATATTGTTCCATAAATCGTTTATCTTCTGTGAATTCAGGTTCTTTCAAATACTGATTGAAAACTTCTGGGATCCCTACTGTTTTCCATAAACCTGCATCTTCGGCATTGGTTACGATTTCGTCAGTAGAAGACTGTAAAAATATAATTTCTCCCAGCTTTGTATTAGTACACTCGAGGACATTTTCAGCTATTTCTTGAGTAGCTAAGTTAGTAGGGGCCGTGACTATGATTATGTTGGTGACATTTTGAATTAGATTTAAAATATAAATTGTTAATACCTGTGTTTTCCCGGTTCCAGCCGGAGCATGGACCGCTAAAATGTCGGTTTCTGACTTTGGAAGTTCTAAGATAACGGTAGATTGGGCGTTAGTTAATTCAATGAATTTTCCGTTTAAAGTAGCTTTTACCCGCCCTGCTACTTCTATGTCGGGATCCATCTCAGATTCTCTGCTGAGTCGCATTAATTTTTCTAAGATTCTTCTCTGCCTATTCTCTTAGTAAGTTAGAATCCTACATAAATTATGATTAATAAATTCTCTAATTATTGTTTCATACTCAGTTTTATCTATTTCTGGATACAGAATTAGACCGCTGAATGAACTATGGTACATTAGATTTAGAGCCTTCTGAAAGGCTACCTCCACTCGGTCATGGTTCATTTGTTCTTCTAAAATCATATCATCGTTATTTTGTACAAGTAGCCTTACCACCTCCATTTTTATTCCGCTTCTGTATAATCTCGCGCTTGTCTTCATGACTTATGATTTTTTTTTTTTTGAGCGATAAACGCTTTTTCATCATTTTGATATGAGTCACGATAGGGAATGAGGAAGGGTAGTTTGGCTTGGTATTTATTCGTGATGTCCTTCGTTATTTGTGCTTTAGCTTTTTGTGGTCGAGCTCGACTTGACTACAATATAAACTTTACATGTTCTAAAGCGAAAATTGCTGATGAGTTTAGTAAGGTTTCATAGTCTTGACGTTGTTCGCTGTCAGTAACTTTCAGAGTGTGAAGCATATGAGGAATATTACCATTGGTAGTCTCGTATTTGGGATCCCGAATCTTCGTAATCCAATAACGGTTGTTGCCTAATTGGTACCCTCCCCTTTCAATCCTTTCAAATGCTTCCGGCAGGTAATACCTTAATTTTCTATTCTGAAATAGTACTTCATACTCTAGTTTACCTGCCGGAAATCTTATCAACTCGCGCGCTTGCTAATTCTCCTCTTTGTGGGGAGTTCCTTAGCGCGATTCTATCTTCATACAGTCGCTCATATCCTAACAATCGTGGAGCTGAGACAGATGCCAAGAACGGATTTGTCTTAATGTAGTGAATCACCGCGACGGTTTTACAGGTTTTTGCCTTTCGTAATATTTTTCCTTCTGTCATTTACGTAGGGGCGCGCAACATTCCTTGGAAGACATAATCTTTTATAGACACAAGTCTGGTTAAAGGTACTTTTTAAATATCTGAGCCTGTGCGCGCAATCTCATATAAAGTAACCTGTACCAAATCTGTAGGTGAAACGGTCTCGCTTACCTTCATTTGCAGGAGTAGCGGTCCTTCATTCCCTAAATCTTTATTTGTCTCATTATTTAATTCTAGGACTAAAGTCGCGTATTTTTTTGCGATTTGGCCTACCATATAACTGGCCGGGGCCGAAAGGATCTTCTGATTGACCCACGAAACGGTTCTTCGCCCGTTCATAGCACGTTGCATTCTGAAAGGCATGTAAATATTTGAGGTCTGTGGGGTCGTAGTTTTCATTCCACTGATGGATGAAAGTCAATACAAGTTGCATGGTGCCAAGGATCACTTTAGGTTCGTGTATACTTAGTAATAGTTGACAGGTTTGGGATTCTTGATATGTTTTTCCATCATGTGGCAATCTCTTTTCTATGTACCTTGATGCGAATTTTGGCAAAGCCTGTGGACGTCCTTTTGTTTGAAAATATTGTAAGGTTTCTGGAAGATGGTACTCTGTCCAAAGGTCTTCTTTCGATCTCTCATAAGTCTTTTCGGTAGATGGGGCTTGTAAGAACAAAATGTTTCCCTGTGGCACGTGTTGAGTTAGTTTAGGCATTCTCTTAGCTATGCTTTGGGTAGCCAAGTTGCTAGGCGCTGTAATTAAAATAATGCCAAACTTCTGATTTAATAATTCACAAACACATATAGCCATAACGTGTGTTTTTCCCGTGCCAGCTGGGGCTTGGGAAAATAGGGTAAAGTCCTTTCCCAGCAAGAAAGCTTCTGCGAATTGTTTTTGGTGATCGTTGAGTGTTTCTAGCCGCCTTTGAGCCATTTCGCTAATTGGGTCCAGGTTGTCTATATTGGACGGACCTCTTGAGTCACATGGAAAACCTAAGAGGCGTTTTAGAATTTCTGTTCTGACGTCTTTACTTTCAAATGAGTTGTCTAACACGTTTGATATGGCGTACATTTTGTATCGATCTTTGACGATGGGTTGAGTTATTGTGTCGGGGCTTGGATAAATTTCCAGCTCCATCTGCATGTTCGTCGGATTACGAAATAATTCTGGTACATGACACAATCCGAGGTTTACTTCTTCAGCGGTCATGACGGTTTTTACTCAGATATCCTTTAACTCTTAAATTTCAATTTCCGTAATGGAGGTCGTCATGCCGCTGCGATGTATTCTCGTGCCATAATGGGGAAGTTTTATTCGCAATTTCGTATTTGGGGCCCAAGTTTTGATATATCTCGCAAATCTCTGTTTAGCATGCTCATCTTTACCATACCGAATAATAAGCTGAAGTTCTACTTTTCTATCTTTGGGTGGAGTAAGACAAACTTTGCAATTAATGAATGTTGGTTTTACTGCCGTATTGTATAAGGATGCTTTTACTCGGTCTTTGGCACATTCGGCTGAAATATACATTAATAATCCCCATTTCCTTAATTCATCTCTTCTCATCTTTGGGGTAGTCATTTCCCTGTTAGAGAAGAACAGTCCATTGCTTTTAATAATGGTATCCGCATAAGCTCTGATACATAATGCTGTGATTCTTCCCTTTTTGACTGTATTGCCAACTGGTACCATTTCTTCGTATGCCTTTGGTAGAACATGGCGATATAATTTTGATGATAAAATATTTGATATTCATAATCATCCACTGGTGGTTCAGCTACGAGTGTGTCGACAAGTTTTCTTTCTTTTGATGGGCGTGATGCAAAGAAAACTTCTTGGTTTGACATGTCTTGAGCTCCTTGTAAGCCTTCGGTACTAATTTAAACAGTGTACTGATCATGTGGGGCGGCTACTTGGATGAAAGCAGGTTTTGTTGTTCTCGGTTGTTTGTGAGTTTGAATAAATTTGGTTGCTACAAATTTAGCTCTCATCCATCCCTTGATAATAGGAAGTTAAGTACAAAAATTCTTTGTTACAACAGCGATCATAAGAGGAATTCTTGTATTAATCGCAATGCGCATCTACATAAAATTGTTTACTAGAGGTATAACTAATGCTGAGCGCCGAAAATACAGTCGGACGACATAATACAGAAGGAACCCAGACGTTACACAGTTCCGTCCGGATGACCTTTATACTGGATATGTCATGATATTCACGACACAATGTCCTGGAACAGTACGTTGATCGGAACGTATTTTGAACGAATGGACGTTCCGATTTTACTCCGCAATGGAACATTTAAGATTCTCAATACATATCTCGCTAAATGTTTTAGTTTTATTAGCCATGACGAGAAATCAAAAATATCATTTTATGAGAAAAGATCATCTCCATTTGGTTCATTGCTTTTTAATTCTAAATTATTTAGAATTAGAAGATTTTCCTTGGAATTCTCAACTTCTATGTCTAGATATTGTTGGTTTGGCCACTCACTCTGATTTAAAGGTAACCAGTGTGGACCGTTCCACCATAACTTATTATTCTTAAAGTCATTTATTGCTGATTGCCTCATTGCTATATCTGCTGGATTATCACTGGTACTAACATAAGTTAAATTAAAATCTTTACAATCTCTTATTTCTTTGGCTCGATTGTTGATAAAGGTGGGTAGTAATTTGTTTGACTTAACCCAACTGAATGCACATTTAAAATTGCTCCACACGTTAATACCACTAAAAGGTAATTTCAAATGTTTTATTATACATTTAGTTAGTCGTACTTCTGTTAGTAAGGCGATTGACTCTAGACGTGGAATAGTCATTCCCTTAACTGGACAAAGTCTGTCTTCACTAAAGATAAGATAAGAGTCCGATTCTTTGGCCATTCAGGTAAGTTTTTGGCTTAACACTTCTCGCTACTAAAATTATGCTAAGCATGCATGCAGTGCTTATGGCTAGCTGCAGTAGTGTTAAAATAATAAATAAATAGGAGAGTTTGTTTGGAAAAACCCTCCTATTTACATATTACTATTATTGGAAGTTTCCTTGACCATTCGTGAGTGAAGACAAATTGTGATTCGAGAAAATGAATGTGAAATAACCAGCATTTGTTATTAATGCAAATGTTATGCGAAAGTGCGTACCTAGAAATGATGGTAACTGCCAACTTGCCTTGGCGCTGTTTTTGCTCTTGGTTAACTCGGCGCTTGTTTGCTTTTGGGTTGAGGGACGTGAGAAGCACTTAAACTCCAAGTTTGAAAAAGTCCTCCTAGTTTCAAAAAAAAAAAAAAATCTTTGAAACCTCCAGGCTTTGACATAGCTGCGCTGGTCATAGCTAAATCTTAGCACTTTCCATAAACCATACCCAGATCATTGTTGCAGTTTTGCTATGCGTAAGCTGCATTGCTGGCCATCGTTTGCTGCTTAAACAGGGCTTTTTTACGTCTCACTTTTCTCTCTCGCGTTTTTGTTTTCTTACACTTGCCTACACCTGACTCTTCGGCAAAACATTGTCACAAGAAATTTCAATCGGAGAATCATGATATAAAACACAGCAGGTCACAGGTATACGGATTAGGTAGCAGATTGGAAGCCGCATGTATCTCAGCTTATAAACGGCTTTTTTCGACTCAATCGACTGTCTTCAAAAAATTAAACTAGCACAACCTAGCGCTCGAATAATACTGCGTGATCGTTTTTTTAATCGAATGAAACATTTTTGGGTAAGGAAGTTGGTCACAAATCCGAATGTATTGCTGCTGAGATATCCCCCCTCCCGTCCCATTACATTAAAACAACAGTTCTCAAGAGTTTAGTAGAACAGACTTAACAGATAATAATTGAGTGAGAATTGTGTGAGGAAGGTAATGATTTCCACTCACACAGGGTGTAGTAAATAAAAGAATTTTTATTCTATGTGTATAACAAGAATTGATGTAAAAAAATTGCAAAGTGGACGAGTCACGTATTAACAGGAGATAAATAAGCGTAACAACTATCACAGGAAAACAAACAACAAAGAAACTGTGAACAACTGAGTGAAATTAAGTGTTGAAATGCAAAATAAAAGTGATAATAAGTTCATTGTTCTTGCTCGAAAAAGTCACTCCTACCTACCAAAACCTTTAACAGACACGTGAAACGCAAGCTAAACAATCAGCTCAGAAGGTGGACCACTCCAAACTACTTTCCCAGCCTCCATCTTAATGACGAGATCATACATTTCAATGCCCTGCAAACGATGGGTCAAGGCTATGACGGTTGAGGAAGGTAGCACGGCGCGAACCACAGCATTCATAATTTTGTGTGTTTCCAAATCCATATGAGCAGTAGCCTCATCAAAAAGAATAACCTAAACAGCTAATCACTTCAGAATTCTAAAAATACTGTACTATTCATAAACTTGCTCCTCACACACCAGCTGTTATTTGTGAAATGGCAGATGTTACAGAAAATTCAGAGCGAAACGGATTTGGAGCGCTGCGAATTTATAAGCAAATAATGAAAGCACCTTTGGGTGTGAAAGAAGAATACGGCAAATTGAAATCATTTGTCTTTCTCCAAACGACAAATTGCCACCACCTTCGCTAATATCTGCATCAAAACCACCAAGTCTTCTTATGAGCTCTTCTGCAGAAACAAAATCTCATAATTTATGAAGCAGGTGGGACTGATAAAAAATGCATTTGATGACGCTGTAAACTTACGAAATTCCTCGAGCCTCATAACTTTATCCAATTGTGACCCACAGGAAGGGTCTCCTAAGGTAAGGTTTTCTAAAAGTGTGCCAGCAAACACGAAAGGGGACTGCGTAACAATGCCAAAAATAGAACGCAAAGAGTGGAGTTCAACGTCGTAAACGTCAACACCGTCAAGGAAGATCTTCCCAGACCCTGCAGATATCGAAGTAATACTGAAGCAGAGTCCAAAGTCAGTCACTTATAAGTCAAGGTGTTCAGAAGCAAGCAACCGCAATTCGGGCTTCAGTGAGTAAACGGATGTTCATGTGGTTTATAACCGCCAGTTTTCATAAATTTGACGACTGTACTGAACTTATAAGAAACTGTACCGATTTCGTAAGCCCGTAACAATACATGAAGCAGACTGCTTTTTCCAGAGCCAGTTCGGCCAATAATAGCAACCCTCATACCAGGTTCAATACAGAAAGATACATTTTCAAGAGCCAAAGGAAGATTAGTTCTATATCGTAAATTGACACCAACAAATTCGATGCGGCCTTTGATCTTTTCTTTCACCAACTAAATAACGGAATTATATAGAACAGGAAATAGAATATCAGCATTAGAAAAATAAAATCATCTTAGCTTGAAAAACAAGATAAACTTCCAAAAACCTTACTAGAGCAGAGCCATAATTACTTTCCAACAGCGCGTTTGTAGCATAGTCGTCAATCCTTTCAACAGAAATAAGCTCTTTTTCAGTCTCCACGAAACAGTTAAGCAGAATACTGATTTGGGTTGATACCGACAATGCATAACTTATTGCCAAACCAGCCATACCTTTGAAAAATTTATGCAAAAAAATATCTATTAAGAAAAGCTATTTTAAATTACAGTCAAGACATGAAGAAATATTTGTAGACTTAAAGGAAACTAGTAAGCCTGTTTTACCAGGATCAATAAAACCAAACTGTCGCTGCAACAAAGCTGCAATAACGACCGACGAGAGGATGGAAACACCAAACAATTGAAGCCTTATAGAAAGCCACTGAGTAGTTGCCAAAGCCGAGTACTGCGCTCGAATAATATCCGTCAACTTCCTCCGCAGGTCAATCATAAAGCTAAATAATCACGTTCGCGCGCACCAAAAAAGCAAATTAAAAAAGGAATGCTTCCTGCTTCTGTAAACAAAGGATTCCAGCAATCTAAAGTAAGAAATGAAAAGTAAATAAAGAAGTACGGGATACCGTTCTGTATGACGATAAGCCCTTATTGTGCTCAAGCCAGATATGGTATCAGTTAAGTGGCTGTAGTAAGGTGAAAGGCTCACCGACGTCAGCCGCTTAATGTCACAAGTCGTAAATCGATAATACCGCTAAAAGTAAAACGAGTATATGGAACCCGTGTCGTTTCTTTACACAGAGAAGCCGCTTATTTCAATAGCCTATGTTGCAAATCAAAAAAAAAAAGATAGTGAACCTGTACGGCGTAGTATATGACGAATAAAATGACAATTAAAGGGGCAAGCAATGGCAACGCCAGTAGAGCAATCACGATGGAGCCAGAAAGGTTAAACAAAGAAGCAAGAAATATATTAAACGTAAATGGCAAAGAATCATCTACAAGATAAACATCTGCGCAAAGTCGATTGATAACCCGACCGGCAGGGGTACTTTCCCACCATGGAATTGCAGCCTGTAAAAAAACGGTAAAAGTTAAAATGTTAGTTTTCAGAAATGAGGCAATTCCTATCTTTTTTAAACTGTAAACTAAGAGAAAATCGCCATAACTTAGGTATAACATTGCTCTTTTAGAAAAGCTTAGCTAGATAAAGTTAGCAAAAAATTTGAAGATACATTAAGCATTCGTTCCAGTAGCCTATTGTGCAGATTTCGAGCAGCCCGAATACCACCTGATGCGAACAGGAATGCACGGATAAGAGTAAAGACTGTATTGACAAGAGCAATCGAAGAATACACAGTTAAATAAAACTTCATCGTTTCCCATTCAGCATCGACAACAGACCAAGATGTATTTTTATTCAACGAAGAGCTTAACTTTATATTAGATGACGAACAAAACGAAATGAACCATTTTGCAATAAAGCAAATAGATGAAGTCTAAATACAATTCTATCGATGTAGAGTGTGCTTTCCGTCGTGAGCAGTTAGACAGCAAGCTAGAGTTTACAATCACAATTTGATTTTAAGGGAACTAAATGTTACCCGTATTCTAAGGGAATTAGGTTGCTTGTTCCGGATGATGTCTCGTTAGAACGACTCGTAGACAATGAACCGTTAGATGGAAATGCAGCCACCCACTTAGTCAGCCACCAGTCAGAAGCATTCTTTGAGAACTGCATCGCAAACAGTGAGGCGACAATACTTATGGACATTACGGTTCCTGCAGCACGGCCGTAGCTTTTATACACGCTAAGCCGCACCTTCCCCTGCTACAAGGAAAAAAAGAATACTATTAGTCTGAAAACTTGAAGCCCCATCAAAAAGCTCGTTTCAACCTGTTTTTCCTCCGGTAATACATCCATTTGCTCAAAGGTGTCAAATTCCTTATCCTCTTCTGATTCATTCTCACCAGTACCCTTTACTGCTCCCTCTGATTCCAGTACAATTGATGGGGGTCCTTAACATCAAAGTTTCAATAGAAAACCAACTGCATAAAGCTAGCAGCGGCGGTACATAAACAACCAATTAAAAAAATAGTAACAAAAATTACCTTGCCTCAGAACACTGCCAGTCGAGTTCAAAACTAAGACTTCATCAGCATCTTCTAAAAACTCAGTTCGATGCGTTGCCACAATAACCAGTTTACCACGACCTCTAAGTCTCTTCACAACAGCCTCATCCCAAACAAATCGGCCAACTTTAGAATCCAGTGAGGCAAATGGATCGTCGAGTAAATAAATCCCTTTATTCTGAAAACACACTACCGGTATAAATATAACCATAAATGGCTAAAAAAATAAGCACAAAAATTACATACATATATATACCGCCCAGCCCACAAAAAAGTGTGTCAGTCCGCACAATTTTTTTAGTGAACTTTTCAGATTTTTTCTCAAATTTTGCTCATTTTTACGAGTTAGTGTCCTACCGCAAATAGTGACAGCAAAGTGAGACCGTTCTGACTCGCCGAAAAAATTTAGTATTTGACAAACATGGCCACATTTAGAGATTTGCTGTTTCTTGCATTCAAAACAAATTTTTAATATTTTTATTCTTGAAAAAAATATCTGCCAAAAGCCGAAGAACTGAAGAAGATGGTGAGATGGGTGAAATACCAAGTCATGTAAAAAGTTAGATTAAAAAAAAAGATTAAAAAGTCATTTCTAATGAATAAAGTCCTAAACTTCCTCAAAAAAATCTTTTTGAAAACCTATTTTTTGTATACTGTGTTGAACTGCAAGATCGGTTTTTTATCGCATAACGAGGTACAGTTTGATTAGTGAGACAGATTTGCAAAAAAACCTTATTTGACGAAACACTGTGGTGCTTTTGCAAATGACAGTATTCCTTTTTTAACCAAAAAACTGTTATATTGAAATACGCTTCATTTCGGCTAATTCAGTAATGAGTAATTGCTCAAGAATTTGCTCTTCTTGAATAACCTAAAAAACTTTACTTGAAAAAGATTGCTTTAATGATTATATTTATTAAATTATGCGGTACTAAAAAATCCTTCTCGTCCCTATACACTTTTGCAGATATAAAAACTACTGATATTCCTGTCAGATAGTCCAGTGTCCACCTTTTAAGATCATTCGCATCTAAGATTGGGTTTAAAAAGACATTTGCGGACTGGTTCTTGCTGCTCCTCTTTTCAATGTGCCTCCTATGCCACTGCGGAGGCTTCTCTTGAATAATACAGCAAAGGACTGGTATTTTCCAAAGCCTGTAGGGTAAAAAACAAGTTTGAAATTTCTAAGTTATGTGCTGTAATACGGCTTCGTTGAAAAAGTACGTGATTTTTCACAAAATAGATATCCGTTTTGAAAAGCTCAAAATTATAAGTCTCTGAAGGCGGCCATTTTTGGCAGAAAAATGAGTTTTTTGCTACTTTAAAACAGTTTAACTTTGCTGCCACAGAACTATTTAAGATACTCCCATTCAATTATTTAACCTGGTACCAATTTTCACAGTATGGCGAAAAAATTGGGAGATCGACTAAAAGTCAGCGATATGATGGAAGATGGCTCATATATATATAAAAGCTGATCAGTAAAACTACTAAAATGCCTGTCAATAAAGCGCTCATTATGCACTCTTCTACACGGAAACGTCAAAAACGCCTAAAGCACTATTTCAGAAATGTAAAAAACTGTGTAAAGACTTTAAGCACTGGGGAACCCAAAGACGTTTAAAGCAACTACTGTTAATAACCGAAGAAATGAAGAAAAATCCAATATTCAAAAATTTGAATTCTGCTACCTGGTAGAGGGCCCTGGCAAGCGCTACGCGTGCCCTTTGCCCACCGCTCAACATACAACCTCCATCGCCAATTTGATATTCGTCATACCCTGGCATATTCTGTGAAAAATATTTGTGACTCACTCGTAGACTTCAATCTTCTTTTTACTTTGTAGGACAAATAATAATATCAAATTACGAACCAACCGATATATCTTGTTTTAGAGCAGTAACAGCGATAACCTCCTGATAACGACTACTGTCAAATTCAGTTCCGTCTACGATGTTAGCCTTCAGAGTACCACGTCGCAGCCAGCAATCTTGGGAAACATAAGCAAATCCATCTCTCAATGTCTCCTGCCTAAGTCCAGGATAGAGCAGAAAAAAAACTAAACTGTGTGTTTAACTGAGCTCACACTCATAAAACACACACAGTTACTCGCTTCGTTAAAGCTTAAAGCAGAGAAGGTAAAAGTTGCGACCTTTCCCCAGAAATTTATGAAAATGTAAAATCTTTTATTCAAAAAGAAACCTTTACCTGATCCTAATGCATCTGCTGTTAACCTCATTTTCTCCAAGTATTCCTAACAGAAAAGTAGATTTCCCACACCCCGTGGGGCCAACCAAAGCTAAGATACTGCCCTAAAGAATCTGACTGATAAATGAAGGCTACAATAGAATACGACTGTAAGCAGCCCCTAATAACTGCTGACAGAAAGAAAGCCAAATCGTGAAACTAATCAAGAAAAAGTACAGAACAAAACTTATAAAGTAATGCATAAACACAAGCCGCTACATACCATGTTGCACCGTAAGGTGACGTTTTTTACTGACGTGCTATCAGACCAGGAGAAAGTTGCACAATCGACCTGAAGAGGTTGTCGTGGATCTGTAATTTTAAGAGTTAGTGAGTAAGCCAAGATAATTCTCCTAGATCGGAGAAAAACTTCTTACTTCCAATACCTGGCGTGAAAAAACAAGAGTTCAAACCTACTATGCAAAGAAGTTGGGTACGACTAACCTGTTGTGAGCGCATAAAGAGAGACAAAATCCATATTATCCAAAGCAAAAAAAGCCCCAATCCTTTTGACAGAGACTATCGCTTCCACTAAACTGCTAAGCACCCAAGGAAATGCGTTCAAAGGTACTATGAGAATGTTGACCAAAGACAATGAAGTGAAAACCTAAACATAATATGAACAAAAAAATGGCAATTAATCCTCTGTTATTACCATGTAATCTATGGATAAAATTCCCTTTCCCATTAACATATACTAGAAAGAAACGTAAAAAATATAGCAGTGAGAGCCATCTGAAAATTATTTAATATATACAAAAACCTTTGCTGCACTTAATTTCTCATGTAACAGCAGCGTATACGTGCAGAATATTGCAACTGTTATTAAAATAGGAGCAGATGCCCACAAATACACACACACAGCATCTAAATATTTCCGAATGCGCAAATAATGAAGCTCCTTCTCTCGTAAATAATTAATTCTTTTGTGCACCACATTCTCCCAATTGGATAACTTCACAGCTCGAATACTACGCACAGTTTCGCTGACCAACTGAATAGGAAGAAATGATAAGCAAAAAAAATATAAATTATTTCAAAAAACTAGCAGAAAAATTTGTAATTAACAACAGATGAAAAAACCAACCTTTGCACGCTCATCTTTATACTGCATCATTTTAGTTGACATCCGGCCAATTTTAGAAGTTAACCATTTATTCAACGGAACAAGTACTAAAGCACTGACAAGTCCAGAAAGAAACGCTAAGCCAACCTGAAGACGCAAAACAAAGTAGCGAAGTACAATAAGTCAAAGCAATTTCTATTTATCATTTGTTTTAGAAAATAAAGAGATATTCAAATAAAAACAGATTTCTGCCAGTTGCTTATCTTACCTCTTGATACAAAAGCAAAAGTGCTATAGCCAGCTGCAGAGGCATACTCCAAAATGCATGAAATGAGCTAAAAAACAAAACAATCCTATCTACATCGCTGCTCATGAAGTTCAATATTTGGCCAGATGAGAATTTTGATAGTGTAGACAGTCGTACGTGAAGCAACTAAATTATAAATTAGATCTTTAAGCGTGAGCTGCACAGCAAAAAAACGTTACAATACGTAGGTTTTTTTGAAAGGTTCTAACTTTTACCTTATCATAAATTGTAGTAGATAAAACAGATTTTATTTTCATAGTCATCTTCCCAATGTAGTAACTGAAAT